CCTTCTCTCTTTTTTTTGTCGCAAGAGGCCAGCTCTTTGAAAAATAATAAGAGAGAAGAAAAAGAACCAGAAAAAAAAGAGAAAAATAAGAGTAAAGCCTTCGAAATTACGATGTATAACTCATTCAGAAAGTCATGTTATTCGCAGTTGGTTTTTGTGCATCGTAGTCAAGTAAAAGTACTTTGATGTGTGCGTTCTTTGAACTTTCGACGAGTTTCCAAAAAAAGTCATCGCCCTTCGAACGCCATTCCCGTGTTGTTCCCTGCGCCCATCACTTCTGCATTAATGTCCGTCTGTTATTTTGGCTCGGCTAGCGATTAGCACCGAACCTGCGCCAGAATCGAGGTGATCGGAATGTTGTTGATTGTTCATTGTGTGGTAGAACATTCTCTTATCACATTGTGTACATTCAACTTTGACGCACTCTATTGTCACAGCTGGACTGATGCTGCGGTACTTAAGATGACACTGATTCAGCACTCCTTTCTGCCCTTTCTCAACGTTTTCAGTTTCTCTCAGCTAGAATTCGGTTTCTTGAGTCCTCTGGTTTATTCTTCCCTTTGTAGAATTCATATTATGCTGATCTAATCATCTTCACACCACTTGACCGCTTATCGAACCCAAAAATCCTTCTTGGACCTGATGTCACCAATCCTTTGTTTTTGGTCCAAGAATTATTTCTCGAGCAGCTTTTTAACTTTCTGTCGTTCGCTCATTATTCTCTCTTGCTAAAAACTTAGAGAATGAAGTTCCACTTTGTAATTCTCCATTTTCAAATTCGGCTAGAACCAAGTTTTTTGTTTCTACTTGGGTTCTTGAACCGGCTCTTATTCGTTACTGTAGTTTGACTGTTTATGCGATCGAATATTATAGTTTGTGTGTTTAATAATTGCTAACACATTGGATTCAACTTCGGGGTTTTTTCGAGAAATTTTTTATTACCCGATAATTTTCTCGGTCAATTTTGATGCATTGTTATCCCAGTTCATGATTTTGCGAAACCAAGCATCACTTTACCTTAGCCTTATCCTGTGTTTCCAAAATTACCCTGCAAAAACATTTTTCCTATTTAGATCTCTCCTCTCACCCTTTGCTCTTTTTATGAAGTTTTTTTAAATGAAAATTCTTAGAATTACGCATTTTAAATGTTTGCATCTTTCTCAAAGTTACGCTATTTAGCCTCGGATTTTTTTCAAAAGATCCTTTGACTACATATGTACAGGGTTTCGAAAAGTTTCTGGCCTTAAATACTTCAATTGCGATTTTTCTTTACAACAAGCATTTTAGGAAGGAGACGTGGAAAGTTCTAGTGATTGAATTTCAATCTAATGAAAAATCAGTTAAACCACAAAGAAACTCAATTTTTACTGAAATTATGGTTTCTAGGTTTGATCCCGTCAAAATTTGAATCAGAAGTACAATACTTTAGGCAGGGTACTTTCCAAACACCCTGTATATCTCTTACCAAATCGGAATGTTTGTGAAAAATTTTCTCACTGTGCACATTCCTTCAAATTTATAAAATCCCTTTTCTGTTTTTGCCAGCTCACACAAATTTTTGCAACGTCTCTCAATAATATGGTATATTCTAACACTTTGGTAAGGCGATAAATTTGACACTTAGTTTCAGCCATATGTTTTCTGCAGTCACGACTTGCACTCCCTCTATCATCACGCGTTAATCATTCTCTATGGGGAAAGTGGTATTGTTATGATTTTAAATTATATTCAATTGGATAAGTTCACATGCTAGGTGTTTACTATATCGTGGTCTGCTTTGCGCTTGCAAGAGACTTGCTCATGATAAAATTCAAATCTGTTGATGTTCCTTTCAACATATTCTCCTTTTCGATTTTTTGAACCCCTCGTCAATTCATCTTCTAATTACTAGGTTTCCCAAAATAATCTAGACTTGCGTAGCTATACCAAAATCGTTCCCCCTTCACCAATACCTTAGAATTATAGTAATACTTTACTTAGAGTGTATTTTGTAATATCAAAATTACTATCAGTGGACCTTCGAGCTTCTGAATGCTCACATTTTCCAATCCTGACCCCAATACGATGAAACATACAGCAGTTCTAAGACAATGTTCAGGATTCTTTCCAGGACTACACTTGCAGTACGCCATAGAATTTGCACTCAGACGTGTTCTCCCTTACAGTTTTTCTATAGTACCAGTAAAAAAATTAGACCGAAAACCATTAAAAATCCAAATTATCGATGAATCCGTGTTTCACCTTTCACAAAATTTCATTATCAGTAAAGAAATGTTTCAGAAATTGTTATGTATATGATTTCCACGAGGTTGGACACACAAAAACAGTAGCTTATTAGCCTTGACACTTGAGCAATCAGGCACATCATTACGGTATGGCTTCCTCTCCAAACAGGAACTGCTCGAGTTGATAGTTATGTTTTCAATATTTGAAACATTCCTACATCCAAGAGAGTTTTACACAGGGCTCGGCACAAGTGGCTTATAAGCAAGCTGCATATCGTTTCTGGGACAAAAACCAAAGGGGGTTTCGTTTTTGTGGCCGAAAAGACACAAGATTTGCGATGTTTTTTAAGTCGACGCCTCGTTTTTTGGAGATTTTTAGGGATGGTCTAGGGTCAAAAGGGACTTCGTAAAATTTCGCAAAGGTCAAGGGAGACTTCGTTTTTTGCATTTTCAACTAACCACCTCGTGCCGAGCCCTGGTTGCGCATAATGACGGAATAAACACTTCTGCTTTGATTTTGTTTCAACAGTCAACAGAAATTTTTGTGATTGATTTCTTGACCACTTTTATTGATGTTTCGCCTTCTTCTGAGACTAAGAGTAAATTTTGTATTTCCAGTTACTTTTTTTCCTCTCGCAACTGATCTAAGTGTTTTTGTGATATTTTTGGTCCTAGAAGTCGAAGTTTTGATTTTCTTGCAGTCATTCTTGCTTTTCTATCGCAAAATCAAAGTCGTGAATATTTGAAATAATTTTTTTATCTTCACTTCTTGCTAACGTTGCTTATTCTGGTTTTCGTGTGCTTCCTCCCAACTATTCTTTCATAATTTCAGTGTAGTGACCTATGCGTATCACGCAAAGTGCATGGTATCCCAGACTGGATTGACAAAGCAAGAATTTTTGAAACTAGAAAAAAAAAACTACGCTGTTCTGTAAAAGTTCGCAATGGTTTTCATTAAAAACAGTGAAAAAAATTAGTGGATAAACTGCACTGGAAAAGCCTTGATAATTAGATCTTTTTGCAATAACCTACTAATATCTACGTTCCTACAGCTAGTATGTGCCTATCACTAGTTAAAGTTAACCATTTCATACTGTGCTTACGGCTAAAGAGTCAGGCTAAGGCTCCGGGCAGACTTCACGCGATTTGGTCGTCGCGACTGAGTCGCGACGAGACAACTGTTACAACATCATTCCATGCCGATCAACTTGCTTTCGGTTGTGATACTTTTCCAGCTCGACATTTTTGAATGTGAAATGGAAATGAATGGAAATCTTGGCGATTAGATCGCGACGATTAAGTCGCGTGAAGTCTGACCGGGGCCTAACAAGGGAATGGTCAGAAGTCGAAGTGACCAATCCAAGCAAGATGCCTGCCTTTCCATACAGCATTCACCGCCGATTTCGAATCTGTATTCCATATCTGCTTGGCGCTTTGTGGACGAATTATGAGCAGTTTTATTGCGAAAAAATCGTACATAAAAATGGCGAGATTGGGCACTTTGTTGCATTTTCAATTCACCTTTAGGCTTTACGAATATGTAGTAACCTAATTGCATGTTTTGGCCCAGCAGTAAGCCGAAAGGCTGCCAAATTTGGGCGCATGCACGATTTTTTAACAAAATAACGGCCTCTAACGGCTCATAAGTTCTCCCTTATAGGCTTTAAGCAGATATGGAATACAGATTCGAAGTCAGCTTCTTATGCTACATCTAACGGTATACAGCTTGCTTGGATTGGCACTTCGCTTTTGACCATTCCCTTGTAAGGCTCGACCGAGGTTCTCTTAGGTCGAAGCTTACAGTCGATTTCCAAACAGCATATCGCCTCTGAACCATTTATGAGCTTTCATAAGACCATTCTTCATTATTCCCATCTTCAGTTTTTTGATTTGATAACATCGGTCTTTACGAAAGCATCTTTTCCAAGTCAAGGAAGCTTTATTTCTATTCTGAGTTCTCGCTCGAGGAAATTTTTCGAAGGCATTTCTGGCAGAAAAACTTTCTAAATATCCAGCATGTTGTATAAGAAATGTCCCAACTTCTCCCCCACATCTTTTTCATTGACATTGATCATGACGTTTTTGCAAGACTCACATCAAAATCTGCAGTCTGTCGCAATCAGGTTTGCGCAATCAGGAAGGTGGAAAAATCTAATTTAATTCATGGAATAATGTGTAAGCCACTCAGGTTTGTTAAGATTTGTTTTGATTAATTTAATCTAATTCAATCGTCTACCTATATCCATTACAACATATCTCAATTTGGAAGAAGTAGTCATTTTTTCCTGGGTTTCTCAAAAAGTATTCTTCCCTGAAGCTTGAAAATTGCGAGCATTCATCAAAATGGAAATAAGGGAAGATCGTCTGCTTTTTCAATCTGTCTGCTGAAAAGAATTAGTTTATTTTTCTCTGTTTTGGAAAGAAATTTATCATCTCATTGTGTTGTGCTGGTCAAAGCTCGATTCCTTGCTCTCACAACTCTATAGCTAATGTAGGAAAGGTTTCGAATTTTTTTTGAAGCCTTCAAGTGAACCATGCCAAGCCTACACTGCCTATCTCAAGCCTCATTATTTTCCCATGAAACTTTGTTTGCCCAGTCACTCCTCCATTTCATTTTCTTTTTTACCCATGTAAGTTCTAAATTTCAGTTTCATTCGAGCGGCATCGATTCAACGGGCGGCCGCTTTGATTGCTCGTTTACTCGTCTCATCCCTTCCCTTCTGCACATGATATGCGTCACTAATTACAAGATCCATGATCGGGTTCTGGAGGCAGATGCGCCTCCTTCTTTGGAAGGGGGTGCTAGTGAAGAAACGACAAAAGGTGAGGAATTTTTTGATTATTATGTAACCCTTGATTCAACCGGATCGGCAGCTGGGAGGCGGAGCTTCGTGACCTAATTAAATCTAGGAAATGGTCATAGAGGACGTTGGCGAGGGAGATGCAGACTGCGTCGCGGGTGCTGGCGGTTGCCTTTCAGCCGCCAATCTAGTTGAATCAAAGAGTAGCTGGTAACATTTTTCAAGACTTTCTACGGAAAAAACATGTTTGACTGTTTTGAGAAACTTGCAACAGTCTTGAATTCATTGAGGAATTCAAAAGATGCAAAAAAAATCTCGGGCATTTGATCTCAGATTTTTATCTCGTTTCCTTAATTTGCATTCGACTCTTATTCGGCCCTCACAATCAAGTTCTTTTTTTTTACTGAAAGATTTCCTGAAGATCATTGCGAGAATTCTTTTCTTCTTTTACCTGCAGCCCGTGAATGTTTTCCCAAGTGAATTGAATTGGAATTGTCGGAACTCTATAAAGGCCAATAAAAAAACAAGACTACCCTGTGCATGGCACTGAAGGTCGTTCGCTTGGAATTTGCAGAGTAATTTAACTCAACCATTCCGAGCGAAGGAATCCACCAGAAATTCAGAAACATTTTTCATGGGGGATCTTGCAATAGTTTACTGCTGAAATGTTCGAGTTTGATAAACTTGATAGAAATTGGTAGCATATTTTTTCTATCTTCTTTTGAATTTCGTCTTTTCTCCCGCGCAAGAGCTGCTACTTAGCACATGAACCACAGGTGGGTCGTACGTGTTCTGCCGTTTGGGACTACGACCCACCGGTGGGTCGTAAGATTTCTGAAGCTCTAGCTTTGCCAGTTTACGATGGAATTTCACGGGGTGCTGGCCCATGATAGGGGACACCTTGGCGAAGCTCCAGCCAGAGTGATCCGAGCTCGGAATACTGTAATGCTTTGTTATGGTAAGTATATCGTAGATGAAGATAAGACACAGACTTTGGCTCAAATTTTTAGCAGAGTGTGCTGTTTTTGAAAATTCAAGTTCACATGTACGAAAAATACGGGGAGGGCACGAGGCTGATGTTCCATCGAAAATTATCGATTTTATCAAATTCATTGATTTTTTGCACTGCACGCCTCTTCGAGATATCGTAGAGTTGTCACCGAATCAGTGCGGATTCGTGAAAGGAGTAGGTACGACCGACGCAATCCACTCCTCTCGGATAGGGATGGAGAAATATAGAGAGAAGCAAGAGGGATTGCATGAGCCTTCCTGGACCTAGAAAAAGCCCTTGATAGTGCCTCAAGAAGTCATCTGATGGGGCTTACCGAAACACAAGCTGCCAGAGGAGTATGTTCAGTGGACAAAGTTGATCTATCACAACGCTTCAAGCCACGTGCAAACAGCTGCAGGGAAATTGAAAGAATTTCAAACCAAGGTTGGAGTACGCCAAGGTTCAGTTCTTTCTCCCTTGCTCTTCATGCTCTGTGACGGACGCCGTGATTGAACCGCTCAAACGTAAACCTCCTTAGATACTTCTCTACGCAGATGATGTGGTCTTGATAGCAAGTACTAGAAAGGAGCTACAAGACGAGGTACAAAACTGGAAGAACAGGTTAGAGTTGTTTGGCTGAAGCTCAACACCAGGAAGACACAAAATATGGAAATGGGAAAACAAATTTCTGCTACCATAAGCATCGAGAAGAGCTAAAGAAGACAACGTCATACACGTACTCAGGCACTCACATCTCAGCGGAGGGGGGCTTACAATAGGAGGTTGGAAGCAGGATGAACACACCTGGATGAAATGGAGAACCTTAACACGAGTTCTGTGCGGCAGAAGAATGCCAGCGCATCTCAAGTCCCAACTGTACCGGGCCTTACCGTCCAGCAGCACTATGGGAGTGAGTGCTGGCCTTGTACGCGGAACAAGGAGCGCAAGCTCAGTGTCATGGAAACAAGGATGCTATGATGGATTAGGAGTCACGCTGAAGGGTCACATCTGCAATGACACTATACGAGCAGAAATGAAAGTAGCTCCAATTGCTCAGAAAATGCAGGATAAGAGTACGATGGCATGGGCATGTGCGCAGAAGGGATGAGAGTCACGTACGAAGTTAGCCCTGGCTGTGGAGGCATTAAGCAAAAGACCCAGAGGTAGACTCAAGATGAGGTGGATGACAGAATCAAGGCCAACCTGCGAGAAATTGGTGTAGACCAAGACCTTGCCTCAGAAGGAAGACCTGGAGACATTTGACAAGAAAAGCAGACCCCGCATAAGCGGGACACATGCGAAGATGAAAGAAATTTATTTTTTGCATTGTTCATCTTAGGAAGCTCAAATTTTACATATATAACTTTGTAACGTGCTGATTACGAAAATGATAGTCTTAGTTGTAACATCGTCTCTTACATCAGTTTCTGGACGAAGAATTCTACCGTACTGTTACCGTAGCCCCACGTTGGGAAAGTACTGAACAAAGTGGACACTATAATTGTGATCAGCACGCGAAATGACCTCAAAACACAATTCTCTATGGAAATTTATGATGTTGGGTTCGTGAATGAATACCGTAACCTTACCGTATAATGCCAAAAATCAAATAAATCATCTTCTGATAATCAGCGCCTTCGATAACCCATGTTCTAAAATCTTTCCAAAAAGACTATAATTTTGGAGAATACGACCCACGGGTGGAAAAATCGGCTTCGTCGTAAAGGTCTTAAGCAAGAAATGATATTAATGAACTAGAAACATCCGGAGTGGGGAGAGATTAAATAAGACTATCTACCCTATCTGTTGATTACTCTTTAATTTCAGTTTTGGTTGGCTGTCGAACTGCTCGTTCCATTGATCCTCTTTGCCATTTTGGCACTCGTACGAACGAGGGACTTCACCGATTACCAGACGCAATGTAAGTTTATTTTCAATTTAACTGCCGTTGAACAGACCTTTATTAATTTGGGGCCAAATTTCTTTGTCAAGCTGTTTAGAGCATTTGATATCGAAGAAAAATTGCTTATCGTATCGTCCTTCTTCTTCTGCTGCAGTTGTAATTCTAAAAAAATAACCAAATTAACAAAAATATAAAGCTTAATTTGGCGGTAGAAAAGTTTAACAAGCAATTTTTACTATGATCTTTTATTTAATGATTCAGGTCATTATGACTCCAAAGGATTCCCTTCGGCTGGTTTACTACCTTTTCTACACTCGTTTTTTTGTTCATTTTCTAATACTTGTCATTTGTCGCCGACAACCGGAGACGAAAAACAATTTATTCATAATGGAACTGGGAAAAATGAATCTTCGTGAGTTTTTTTCCAGATTTCGTAAGTCGAATTAAAATTGATTTATTCTGTTTTTAGATTAGTTGATTTGCTTTACTACTCGTCGTTAGAACTGGGATGGATTGGTGAAAATCCAGAAAAATTTAAGCAATTTCTGAATGGACTCACAGAATTAATTAAAATAGTGGCACATATGAATACATCTCAGGTGGAGGTTCCGCAATTGCGAGATGTGAGTTTTCTTTTGAAAAGGAAGAAAAAACGCTTAAGTAAATGTTTTTCAGTATTTTGATCCTTCATTCAATTTGACTGGAACCCTGAAAAAGTTGGGGATCTCAAATAATGTTGCAACAATTCTTAGCGAAGCAAGACCTACTTCAAAATTCTTTGTCAATGTCTACTCTTACGTGAGTTTAAGTACGATAACTTTTTCACTTTCGCTTTTCTTCCCATTACATTTTTTAAACTATTTTTTCTCGAGCAAATAAGAAAGTTTAGGCGCAAGAACTCAAATCAAAGTCTGCTTGGGAGCTTGCCTTGGAAGCTTTCAGTTCTGTGCCCATACTATGCAACGAAACCATCTTCAATGAAAGCTTCGTACTTCCGCCAAAGTAAGTGGTTTTTTCAGAAGCTAAAGACGTGTTCCAAATAAAAAAATTTGGAGTAAGATAAAATTTTTCAATTAGAAAGAGCAGGAACAGGCGGAAAAACTTGATCCAAAATGAGGGTCGATTTTCACTTGATGATCCAGCTCTCCTGTTGAGAATCATCAAAAATTTTTGAAAAATTCGAGACTAGAAAAATACCGTTATCTGTTTCAAGTTCATCAATTTACAAAGTATCTCATTCATACTGATTTAAAATCTTTTTTATCAATACGATGCCATTTTTAGTTGTACAAGTTGTCTTTGTTCCATTTCTTCTACTTACATTCTTTATTGATGCATAAACAAACAAATAAATAAAAAAATATGTGAAATTTGATTTGAACGCTTAGTGTCAATTATTTTGAAAAAGATATTGCTATAGATATCTAAAACAGTTCACAGTTCTGTTCACTAATAGTGGATTTTTTTTAGATGAAAATCAAGTGATTAAATAATCAAATAAACAATTAGCTAGGAACTGATTACTCTGAAAGCTTGCTGCTAAAATATAATATGTGTATTTTAATTGTTATATTATGCCGTAATAGGTTGTTATAGATGATATACTTTATTACCCGGCATAATATAACAATTGAAATTATTCATCATCAAGAACATACCAAGGTTCAAAGATAAGAGGACTTACAACACAATATGTGTATTTTTGTATTCTGCGCACGATACATTCTTGGGGAGAGATAGTAAAATAGATTTTTTATTTTTCTAAAATTACACTCATGGTGCACTGGAAGAAAAAACCAAATTCGAATAAGCATAATACCAACCAGTCTCAAGTACAGGGAGAATGTGATATGTGAAAAGAAGAACAAACCAAAACGCCCCAGATTAACTGTAATACATGAATGTTCTCTGCTGAAAGAGAAACTGGATACCAGAAAAAAAATCATACTTAACAATCTTGCTTCTTTCGTAATGTATAGTGATCCCTTTTTTTGGTGTCAACGAGCCTAGGGGCGGAAGCTAGCTAACTTAAACCCAATGGAATCATTAGATAAATGAATAGCTATAATTTGACCTGCTTACAGCAAGCGAATCAACTAAAAATATGCTTCGAAAATTATATTTTCAGTGCGGAGCTGTCTGCTAGCGACTTCAAGTCTTTGTGCGGTGTTACACCTTTGGATCTGCTGAATCTCAATCGGACAGAGCTAATGCAAAATTTGAGATTACCATTTCTTGTAAGTTCTCCAAAATTCAATTTTGTAGCTGAAATTAACTTCCTCCTAGACAACAGCAGATGGATTAGCTAGCAATTCGACTTCTGAAACTGCTGCAGATTTACTGGAGCTGTTGAAAGATTTTGCTAGACTTCTGGCCGAGCAGCCCCTCTATCAAGGTTTTTGGAAGTGGAGTGAAAAACTTACAGCGGCTAATTTGACATCGTCAATTTTTTGTGGCCATAATCCGTTTGGTGAGTCAGTGATGATTACTAAATTTTTGTCACTAGTTGCGATGTCTTAGTGTTTTAAATTTGTAAAAACCAGATTCTAAAAATTAAGGATTAAAAGTAAGGTTCTCCTTTTCTCACATAGAAAGATAGATGAAAAATTAGAGAAGTCAGTATTAAAAATTTGCTTCGATTTGTTAAAAAAGGGTTAACTTTTAGATGATACATCAGCTGATGGATTGGGACCATTACAACCTCGTGTCAAGACACCATTTGATGAGTTGAGGGGTCAGCTAATAGAGTGAGTTCCATTATTATTCCTATGCATTGGCTTAAAAATCATGATATAGAGCAGTTGAATGATATAAATGCTTCCCCTCCACTCCTCCCCCCCCCCCCCCCTTATCGAGGACATTTCTTTGAAAGTTGCAATGGAGTTTTCTTTTCTGAAAACTGATGAGTGACCTGGTATGTCCTGCATGACTAAATAGATTTTACCGAATTTAGACAAATGTAGGGTCGTAAGCTCGGCAAATTTCAAAATCTCAAAAGCTTTTGAAAGACTTGAGCAACGCCTACCCACTCAAGAAAAAATTCTTGCTCTCCCTCCCCCTCGCCCTCATTCTCGCAAAAAAATTTTTCGCGCACCTCTGTTAGAGAAGCTTGTTTGAAAAACTTGCAAATTTGCTTGCATTAAAGCACCACCTCCACTAATCGAATAATCTGACACCAATGCAGTCAGTGAAAAATAGAAAATATTGATATTGAACTCTTACAGATTCATCGAAAAAATCGTACCCGGCAGACAGGAACACGACAAGCAATTCTGTCATGGTGTTTGGGTGCATGATGGTAAGCAAATGAAGTTGAGCATTATATTTTGTAATCTCGAAATAGTGACTAACTTTTTTACAGATATGAACTGCTCATCGCTAGAATCACCACTAATGCAAAGATTACGTCCACTTTTAACTGGTTATATCTTGGTCACCCCACCGTCTCCTGCGGTTGAGGAGATGGTAGACATTGTGGGTATTATGGGTTCTAAATTTTCCTATTTGCTCATGAAACTTCTTTTTGTATGAGCCTTTCATGAACCCTCTTTTCAGCTCAACAATCCCTTACGACTTGCGGATTTCATACGAAAAAAGTTCTACGAATATCCGGATGTCGCGGACAATCTCCAGACTGCTTTTTACGAAAGTGATCTACGGGCTGCTGCTCTGGTGGGTTTTTTTTTCAAAGAAACACTTCGCAAGGGAAACGGCCGTTTTGCGCGACATTATACAACAGGCATCCTGTTTGACTTGACCGAACGCGTCGCGAACGCGGCAAAAGTTTTCTCTTCTCTCTGAAGGGTCAAGCAAAACCCGCCGCAGGCGTTTCGCGCGCGGCTGCGGTCCTGCATGGAACTTGGTAGTATTACGATCGTGCAAATCGGTTATTTCCCTTTTAAATTCTCAAACATTTAATTTGATTTCCAACCTTTTCGCCAAACTCTCCAAAATGCATCGATTTGTATAGTGTCCGTTAATTTAATAGGTTTCATTTTTTTTGTTTTCCTGCTCTCCCTCCTCGACATTTCATCAAAACTTGGCATTTTCTGTCCTTTCCTCTCGGGGCTATGTAGATTAGAATGGTATTATAAGCGTGTCATTGCACATAAAGAGTAGACCCGTTGGTCCGAGTGAGACAGTACTTGACTAGAAGAGATAGCAGACGGTACAAAAGGCATGAGAGAGCGCTTGATCGGAGAGACGCCGACAGCGTCCGCGGTTGCGCCCAATCTCTGCGCGCGATGACTCATCTATACAATTTTTTCAGTATGAAACAAAAAAAATGCTTATTTTTCCGCTTTTTTTCTATTTAGCACTTATCAACCTATACCTAACATGAGGAATCCGCAAACTTGCAAAAAGTGTGGAATTTAATCTCTAGCACATTTTTGGATAATCCTTTCTTCCCTACTCCTGCTTTCTTGAAGTATCTTTCCAACAGAAAAAACTCAATACAAATCTTTTAAGCGGAATATGAAAAAAGAGTTATTATCATGTTCTTGCTTACTTTAGAATCTCCTGGCACTCATCAAAGCCTTTACCGAACACGAAGAGGTTCCAAAATTTGTGAAAACTATGGAATTCGTTCTTGAGCATATTTTTGGCCCTCCTACGGATCCATACTCGTTTGGTGCTGTTACAAAGAATGTTACAGAGATGGTCAACAAGTACTCGTCGGTAAGTTACAGTATGCTTACCGTGATCTTCTTCGCCAACCCAGTTCCTTTAGTGTTTTCTACTGGATCGTTTTGTAATTATGGCGAATGAGTCTGTGATGGAAGATGCAGCCGTGTGCTTGACAGACTATCAGCAGTATTTCACCGGCATTGTCATTGTCAATATGACTGACAATGCAACTGAGTTCGAGCCGCTGACAACATACAAAATTCGTCATTTATTTAGTCTTGTTGATGGTGAGTTCATTTTTTTGTGCAAAAATTGTGACAACGTTAATTTTTTGACGGAAACAATAAAAATCAAAATTCTATTTTTCAGGCACGTATTCTTACATAGACAGTCCACGTCGGGTGTTTGATCGAAATACGCCTTTTAATGATCTCAAATACCTCACCTATGGGTTCTCCTTTCTGCAAGGTAAAGTCACCAATTTTAAACTTAAGGAATGTGTGTGTTGTGCAATTGCACCAAATGAGTGACCTAATTTTACGTGAAAAAGTTATAAATCAAGTAAACATGCGTTTTTACAGCCAAAGAAAATCAACTCAAAGATGATGAGTGGTTTAATTTTGACTTTGTCATACCCAAAACGGCAGCATCTTTCTTCAAAAATAAGCTTCGAAAATTTAACAAAACATTTTTTTCGCTCATTTAGATTTTTTCTCAAATTGAGATTTTTCTTTTTTGAAATTTGAAGGTCCGAAATGTTGGAATTTTATCAATTCAATCGAAATAAACATTAGATTACTTTGTAATTTTTTAGTTATTGTAGCATCGCACTTCTTTGAGTTTGACATCTTTTCAAATCGAGGTTCTTATTACGTGTTATTTTGAAGGTCTAAAAAAAACTTAATTCACCACTCTGGTCTGTTTTTAATAAGGATTTTCAATAAATCAAATTCACAGACCGTTCGAAAAAATAATATAGTATTTTCCCTAAAAATCAACTGTTTTTGACGCACATGAGCTTATATGTATGTCCCAAATTACCATCACATTTAGAAGCCATCGAACGAGCCATCATCTTTCTTCGCTCAAACTCGTCCGTCTCGCTAGGAATGTACTCTCAACAAGAGCCTTTCCCTTGTGTTTCTTTCGATACGTGAGTTCCACTGAAGTACGAGTTTTGCGATAGTTGAAAAAATAGTGTTTAGCTTCAACATCACCTACTTCCTCGCACTGTTCGTCATTTTGTCTTTCATCATACCGGCTGCCTTATTGGTGAAAAATATCGTACATGAGAAAGAGCTTAGGCTAAAGGTTGGTAATTTTCGGAGTTGTTGGACAACTTTTGCAAATTTTGATTTTTCCAGGAGCAAATGAGAATCATGGGTTTGGGTGACATGGTACATCTATGGTCATGGGCATTCATTTCGGTGGTCCTTAACATCACGAGCACCTTTGCTATAACGCTGATCATAAAGGTTAGCCCGATCGATGTTGACCCTAAGTGCCAAATCGCGTCGCGACTGAAATCGCGTAAAGTATGCTCGGCCCTTTACCCTTTAACATATTTTCTACGACTTTCCCGGGAAGGCCTGCGAACGTCAGACTGGAGCGACAGGAGCGCGTTTATCCCAGAAATGCTGTCCCGAGTCTCTAGAAAAAAAAAGAGGAATAGCTCTAAAAGGGATTACCGCCTAGTTTTACGAGAAAGGGCGAGTTTCCTCGAATTTTTGACGGGGCAAATCTTGGTTCAGAAGAAAAAACCTGTAAGGCTTATCTTAATTCTTTTGTTGTCGTAAAAAAACCGGAATAAGGATACTTGGGTTTCCGTTAGGAGACCCACATTTTTATCTTGGATTCTGCAAAGCCAAGTTGTTATTGTGTAGGCTGTAGGCAAAATGGAACTGTGCAAAATGGCTTAAACAGTTTTTCTGCAAAAGTAGAGTACTACGAAAGGTGAGAATCTTTGAATGGTTTTATTTCCTTCTGGTTGGTAAACGAAATTAGAAAAATGCAGTGCGAATGCCATTCAGAAAAACATCTTTTTTTTGGCAGAAAGTATGAGTGATGTAATTTATAACAGATTCACAGCTTTAATGTACCTGTGCTTCCACCAGATGAGTTTCCAATGCTAAGACTTCAACGAGCGCAAAAAGCTGGTCAGCCAGACTAGAAATTTTTAGTGCTGTAGTTTTTCATCATCTTCATAAGTATCACTCATAAAAGATTTGAGTTCAATTGGATTGAAGCAAATTTTATAGGTGACCACGTTCAGTGCGAGAATCACCCATTAATTTGAATTTTGTCCTTCTACAACGCCTATTTTTGAAGTTTAGGTCGTTTTGGGCAGTTAGCTCGCAATGCTTGTGCTTGTGTCCAGCTAAAAATGTGGACGACTCTAATCACGCATTCAACAGAGGGTGGCATGTTTAAAGCGTGATACTTGCATTTTTGTCACACCCAAACACCTTAGCCATGATGGATATATACAAAAAGGAACAAGTATGCTCGCATGCGCGGCTCGTAGTTTTCTACATAGCCCCGTCCCGCTCAAATCTGGCCAATCGCGACACGTGCTGACCAATCACAGGTGCGCAAATATGGCGAGCGGTAGAATAAGCCTCTTTCTGTTCTTGACTAACTCTCTTCTTTCGAAATCACAAAAATTTTATTTCAACCACTAACCCAACTAGAATATATTATTGAACTTTTTTCAGTTTGGGAATCTCCTCAATGCTGACTTCTGGCTGGTTTTCGTTTTTCTTTCTCTATTCGCCATATCATCTATCGCACTTTGTCTCCTTCTGTCGACATTCTTCTCCAATGCCAACATATCAACAGCTGCTACCTGTCTCATCTACTTCCTCTTCTTCTTTCCATATCAGCTCAGCGTTCGAGCCAGAAGCAAGAATTTTACTAGATTTACGGTAGGTCACACTTTATGGTATCTTTAAAGTGTCAGAAAAATTCCTCTTGTAGCTGATTTTTCCTCAAACAACTCTTGGGTATGGAGTGGCCATGCTAGCTCTGTTCTCTCAAGTGGGTCAAGCTAATTGGTCTGATTTGCGCCAGATTTACCTGGATGGTGAGTAAACATATGATCTCCCTGCAGCAAATTTCAATTTTTTTGAATTTTAGCTTATGGCGTCGGGCTAGTTGAATGTATGGTGGCATTTGCACTACAGACTGTAGCTTTTATAATATTGGCATGGTACAAAAGTGCTGTTTCACCTGGTAAGCGAGCTTTGAGACAAGTTTTCTATTGTTAGTCTGAAAATTTTTTTACAAACTACCTGTGAATTTTTCCCTGTTCCAAATTCTTCCAATCAACTGAAGCTTTTGATTTCAACAATATGCAACCAGTAGCTGAGCTAACTTCTTTCCATAACTCTCGTTCTTCAATTTTACGAGAAAAAAAGAAAAAAATTAGAGAAAAAAATTTCCTTCAGAGGAATAACTTTGAAAATTGAAATACGAAAAAATCTTCTAGGCATCTATGGCGTCTCCTTGCCTTGGTACTTCTTCCTAACCAAAAATTATTGGCTTCCACACTCTGGCAGTATAGCTGACTTCGCCGACACCATGGATTCACAACCAGGTATTTTTATTCTCCAACCCCTCCCCCCCCCCATCCAAGAGTTTCTTCTCATAGCAAACGAAGCTTTCGAAGTCGAACCGGACTATTTGAATATGACCGTACACATCAGTGGCATGGGCAAGGAGTACGGTAACGGGACGAAAGCGGTATGTACAGTTTTTGCAATTACGGAATTTTGCGCAATCGAATGTATTTAGCTCGATCAACTCAATTTACGGCTCTATGAAGATCAGATCACAGCACTTCTTGGTCATAATGGAGCAGGAAAAACCACTACCATGTGAGAAAATGCGAAATCAAATTTTCATAAAATCAAGTATGATTTTTTCCAGGTCGATACTCTGTGGCTTGTATTCACCAACCTCAGGAACAGCTACTGTCTATGGCTGGGATATTCGAAAGGAAATCCAACGAGTTCGTGATTTACTGGGAGTTTGTCCACAGTATAATGTGCTGTTTTCACAGTGAGTTGGGTTCTACGAGGTTCAATTCTGGTAACCTTATTTACATAACTACTTGTAGTCTGACCGTAGCAGAGCAACTGAGGCTCTTTGCCGCTTTGAAAGGAACTCCAGATTCACAGCTTGATCGAGTAAGTCTTGAAAGGTCGATTGATTTCTTTGAGCAGTAGCGCCCAAATGCAAAAAAGAAGCTTCAACGAAGGATATTACATGAGAAGAAAGCAGAGTTGATTTCATAGAATCCAGAAGTTCAGAAATTTCGTACAGTATTGTCGCTAACCACCCAAAAGCTTATCACAAAAGCAACATCAATACTACTCCCGTTACCTTATTCCTTATATGAAAAATGATTGTGAAGCGTTAGCTAAGAAGTTGCCTAAACAGCTCATTTGATCTGCCTTACATTCCAGTCCAGACAGTCTCTTTTCCATGCGGATTTATAACCACACTCGATTACCGTTGAAGACCAGTGCACCCGAGTACGGTAGAAGGCCAATCAGACCAATCAGCGCGTCCGAGTACGGTAGAAAATACGTTGTAGTGAAGCCGCTGGTTTTCATTGCCGCGATGGATCATAAGAGCTGGTGGTTGAACACATTTCCCTCTAGCCTTATAAATTACTCTTTTATCTCGGAAAAAAGGTATCACGATTTTCCTAACAGTTTTTAACAACAAAAAAAAACTCAGTCGTGAACTTGGCTGGTTTTGAACACTGGAATTGATCCATCTGGATTCACTATGAAAACAATTGAAAAAGTAAACCACGCATTTTCTCCAAATCTTCTCTAGAAAATATTTTCGAGCTGTAAAGTAGCCAGTTAGCAGAGTTACTCTTTTGCGAAAAGTAGAAAATGTGAACGGAGCAACAAAAGCAGCCAATAAAAAGATTATCAAATAAACATCTGCTCTCGGCTTTTGATATAGGTAAATTAGAGGGCAACAATAATGAAGAGAGAAATTACTCCAAAAATTCTCTAGGAACAACCTAGAAGATGTCCAAATGTTGTACGCAGTGCTCCACACCTCAACAAAAAACTGTTAATTCTATAAACTTCATTGCATACCAGTGTTTATCTCCGTATCCTCTAAAGACATATATCTACTTATAATAAAAATTTTAGGAAGTCGAAGAGATCCTGACTTCTGTGTCGCTTAGTGACAAGGCTGATGCGCTCGCCAGTACACTTTCAGGTCTGAATTGTTGATTATTGCAAATATTTCCTTTGGTTTATACGAATCTCTATTCAAGGCGGAATGAAGCGAAGGCTCAGCATTGGCATCGCTTTGGTTGGAGGATCTCGATTTGTGATTTTGGATGAACCAACAGCAGGGGTTGATGTGAACAGTAGAAAGGAGATTTGGACATTATTGCAGAATAACAAGAAAGGTAAGTACCAGATTAACTTAGAGTTATTGGTCATGCTTTTCAAACAACTTTTCAATCTTTTTCAAGTGTTCTGAGCCACACAGGTTTTTAGATGGTCTTTATTATGCAATCCACGGCCTAACGTTTCGACGCCTTCGTCTTCCTCAGAGGCCTGAAAGTGGTTCAAAACGTTATCCGTGACTCCAAGCCATCAAACACCTCCCCTAGTCCGGCTAGTTCTCAACCTTCGCTCAGCTTTCCTACTATAAAAATGTCAGGACAGAAGATGAGCGTACCGAAAGACCACCGCTATATATGGTATTCCGCACCGGAAATGATGGTCGTGGCGGAAGAATAAACTATACCATAGATGACGTCTCTTGCCTTATGAACGTTGGAGGAGGATTGAGGATGGTTCAAAATTAATCTGTGATTCGATTCGATCTAGGACTAAAACCAAGCTCCGCGCAAAATACGACCGACTCTTGGCTGAACTATGTAAAAATCGCTCACGTGACAGTAGTAGCAAAGCCGATGACCGCTCTGAACAACTTTCATGTTACAATGAAAAAGCGGCAAGAGTCACTGTTATTGGCAACACTCAAATTTCTTCTAACATCATCGAGCTTCTTAGCCTTGGACCTTCATTCTCTCCTGCGCAGAACATCAATGTTAATACTTATCGCAAAGTTGTCGGAAGCCTGCACAAAGTCAGAGACATTCTAAGACTGAGAGCTAAACATAGAGGTGGTTCAGCAATGGCGTCTTACGAATCTAACGGCTTACCATCAATTCCTTTCCCTCAGTCGTTTTACAGACAACCGTCTCCCGTTCTTGAGGTAGACATGAAGTTCCGTCTCTTATGTTCTGGTGTTTTGGAAGTTCTCAACAGAGCAAAACATCAACATCAGAACAACTTGTCATACGAACAGTGGCAAGGTTTCAAAGAGGTACGCGAACTCGTCTCGAACGGCTCAATACGCGTGTCTGTAAGCGATAAAGGCGGCGAGTTTGTAGTAATGCCTCAGGAGTTAGATCGCAGAATAACAGCAGCGCATCTTGCGGACACCACAACGTATAGAATGGTCTCTGAGAAAGAATTTTACACCCAGTGTAAAAAGTTGAATGACGCTTGGACCACGATAGCAAAATCAGCTGGACTTGATGACAGGTTTATCAATAGATTGAAACTTAGATGTCCAAGTTGTCCAGTGTTTTATAGCTTGATCAAAACGCACAAGCTTTCTTTGCGAGACATGAATTCAATGTCGGAGGACACCTACAAGATCAGACCAATCATCAGTTGTGTAGGCGGCCCTACCGACAGAATTGCATGGTTCTTGAATAAAATTGTGAGCCAATTGCTGTCCAAGGTACCTGCACATCTATCCAACTCACACGGATTTATCGAACAGCTTCGCAGCGCTAAGTTTGATTCGAGCACTGTAATCGAGTCATTTGACGTGACTTCGCTTTACACTAGCGTGCAAAATGAACAAGCCCTGCAAGCGCTATCAGAGATGTTGGATAGGCATGGCAATACCATCAATACCTTTGGACTCGGCAAGTTGCGGACAATGACCCTGATACACGAATGTTTGAAGTGTAACATCTTTAGGTGGTCTGGGACTTACTACTCCCAGATACGTGGGTTATCAATGGGTCAGAGACTAGCGCCTGTACTCGCTATCTGCTTCATGAGCAAGATCGAGGAACCGGTGATAGCTCGAATGCCGCTAATGTACTGCCGTTATATCGATGACTGCTGTATAGCGACGTCCACACAGTCCGAAATGGACAAGTGTTTCGAGATTCTTAACCAGCAGTCGCAGTACATAAAGCTCACACGAGAAACACCACACGACGGATGGCTGCCCTATCTCAACGCACAAGTAAGGCTGTCCAACGGCATAACTGAGTTCAAATGGTACCGCAAAGAAAGCTCTAAGAACATCCTCTTAAATGTTAAATCTGCTCATCCTTTATCCGTGAAGCGCGCTGTAATCAGGAATATGTTCAATACGGCTATTCAGATGTGCTCCGGAGAAAAGGAACGATGCGAGTCACGAAATTTGGCTTCCCATATCGCTTGCAGTAATGGCTACCATTCTTTACCACGTACTCGACAGACTGCGAATGGTAACAACGCTTATGATAATAAACTCCCACTATGCCTTCCATTCATATCGGATAACATCAGCGCGGCCTTTCGAAAATACATTTCACGTGCACAATTGCAGGATGATATTGTATTAGTGGACGTTCCGAATGACAATATCAAAAAGCAATTGGTTCGAAATAGACCATACGACCGATACTGCATAACAGAACATTGTGTAGTCTGCCCGCATGGTAAATTAGGTGATTGCGCAAAAGTGGGAGTAGTTTATCAATTAGAATGTCTCAGTTGCAACGCGCTTTATGTTGGGGAGACCGGAAGAGCACTCAGTACTCGCATTAAAGAACATCTAGCAGATAAAAAGCGTAAAACATTGTTTTCAGCTTTAGGCAGGCATAGAAGCGAGGCGCATAATGGAGAAGACTTTGATATCAAGTGTAAGATCTTAGCTTATGAAAGGGAGACCTCGGCTAGAAAAGCATTAGAGGCTTTCTGGATTTCTGCAAAGAAACCAGAAATGAACAATAAAAATGAATGTTTGTCAATAACCTCTGACTTTCTTCCGTTCATATCGTTATGCGGTCTTTAGATCACATTCGATCGTCATCTATGGTATAGTTTATTCTTCCGCCACGACCATCATTTCCGGTGCGGAATACCATATATAGCGGTGGTCTTTCGGTACGCTCATCTTCTGTCCTGACATTTTTATAGTAGGAAAGCTGAGCGAAGGTTGAGAACTAGCCGGACTAGGGGAGGTGTTTGATGGCTTGGAGTCACGGATAACGTTTTGAACCACTTTCAGGCCTCTGAGGAAGACGAAGGCGTCGAAACGTTAGGCCGTGGATTGCATAATAAAGACCATCTAAAAACCTGTGTGGCTCAGAACACTTGAAGAATATATACGATGCCCAGGTTTAAAGAAAGCGAGACATGGAAACTTTTCAATCATTTTTCTAACTGATTTACTCAAAAAATGAAAATGTGAATATAAATGTTAACTGATTTACTCTCCTATGGAGAGTCTTTTCTTCCTTATCTTCAACCTTAGTAGCAAGCTCCGAAAACTCACTAGAGATTTTTCGCTTATTTGGGCTTGGCTGGTCCTAGATTTACTCAAAAAAATGATGTGAATATGGACTTTTTTCGAGACCCTTTCATATTTGGTCGTGTGGAGCAGAGCTCGTCAAGTATATTTCCATGCCTTACTTGATTTACTTAATCCACTTGATCCACTTCATCCGGTTTGCTATTGGTCAAACCAGTGAACTGACCAATAGCGCGAATTAGTTGGAGTGGATCAAGTGGATCCTCTTCGCTATAGGTCAGTGCACTGATTTAACCAATAGCGAATTGGATGGTGGATTATCAATTACGCCGGAAAAAAACGAATTTGTGGCGCCTGCCCTAGGAGGCACAAATTCGTTTCATGCCCCTACGGTCATACAGTCTGCGCTTTGGCATGCAGTCTTCAATTGCCGGATGGGTGGGGTGCGGAAAACTTCACGGATTCTGGGCTTTTAGAAGCGCTTTTTCGCTCCTGACTTTGATGACTGCTTCGCTGGGGTCCTGCTATTTTCGAGGCGCTGCCTATAAAATGCGAAGAATGATCATTTGATGCTTTAGGTCGCACAATACTCCTCTCAACTCACCATATGGATGAAGCTGACATTCTTTCCGATAGAATAGCCATTCTTTCTGAAGGTCGCCTCATCTCACTTGGGAGCTCGATATTTCTGAAGAACAAATTTGGAGAGGCCTTTCAAGTCTTTGCTTGCAAAAAAGTGCGTGTGTACGTTTTTCATTGGAAAACATTTGATCTCAATCTTATGATATAGGAACGCTCTATGGACTATACTCCAATCGTCACACAAATCACAACCGAAGCAATGATTCCAATCCGGCTGACCGATCAAACTGAGGAAGAATTAGTTTTCTCGTAAGTTTTGTTGATTTCGTGAAAAGACAAAACCAGTTGAGGAATCAGTTTTTAGAGTCCCAATAACTACGGATTCCTATAAATTGGAGAAGTTCTTCGCATTTTTCGATTCTAAGAAGGAGTCATACCGTCTTGGAGAATATGGAATATCAGCTCCGACTTTGCAAGAGGTAGGTCAAATAAGCTTTACGGCCCTACCTATTGTACACTTTTTTCTTTTACGGTTCCTTTTGTGTTTCGAATACCACATGAAAATTTTAGAATTTTCATCAATAAAAAATCGGAATTTTCAGGGATTTCATTTCAGATCTTCGTTCGACTTAGCCCACAAAGAGAATATATTGTGCCAAAAAGGAAAGCTGGAATTCTTGGAAAACTGAAACGAACTTTCCAAGGCGCTCAGGTGGAAACTGATCAACAGCAGCTAGTGAACAATCACGCTGCTATCTATGGAGCTGCTGATGCCGGTGGTAGCAGGGAAATTGCGCCAATCGCCTATGAAGAGGGTAAACACATTTTGTTATAAAAAGCGGGAAGATTATAGTATTCTTGCCTTATTGCCAAGTTTAAGTAGAAGCTTACGAAACCATTCATTAGGTTGGCAAGTCAAGTTTAAGTACTTCTCCCTACTCAAATATGACGCATTCATTTTTGAGCATAACTTAGACTAAGAACTATGTGCGCAAACAGTTTGATTTTAGTTGCGAAGTAGAGGATAATTTTTGCATCTTTCAAAATTTTGTCAAATTGGAAATTTTTAGGTCGAAGAACCAAAAATTAAGCCGTCCGAATCACATCAAGCCGAAACTACATAGATCATTAGAGATTCCGCTATCAACAACCTGTGTACAGTTTCGGCTTGATGTGTTTGATTCAGATTTGGAACTGCTGGATTTTTGGTTTTCCGACCCTTGAAATTTCGAACTTGACCAACTTTCGACAAATGCGGAAAATTTCTCTTCCTCCTACCACAAATCGAACTTTTTGCGCACATTTGAGGCCTACTGCCTATACATTACGCACAAAAATGAGTGCGTCATATTCAACCAGGGAGAAGTTACCTTAGGCCAAACTTATGTGCCAACCTATTAATTAGCATTGAAATGTAATTTCAAGATACAGAGTAGCAAGGAGCAAACAACGCCAATCTTCTCCTTTTCCACTCGAGAACCCTCAAATAGTGCTCCTAACATTTGCCTAGAACACAAATCTGGGCACCTCTTTTCTAACAAGAGATGTTTTGTAGACTCAAATTTAAGCTTCCCCTTCAAGAGGCGACTCATATGGTTTTTAAGAGGTGACTTCAAGAGGTGACTCATATGGTTTTTAATGACCAAGAATCAGCTAAAAATTCTCGCCCACCACAGTACCTTTCCGGGCGTCCTCAACAGTCCTGGAAGAGTTCAAAGTTGTACTCCTCTGTCGAGAATGCTTATAAGAGCGCCGCTTGGATGATTTCATTATGGCGTCATAATCATGAAAAGGTCATTTATGCGCTCGGTGGCAAAAATGCTTTTTGACATTCTGTTATCTATGCTCGAAGGGCAATTTTTTTAGCCCTTTGTACTTCCCCACTTTGAAGAAACTCTATATTTTTATAGTACCCTAATTTCACGCGTACAAGGCGCACCTTTTTCGATTTTTCAATCAAGCCCCTCAGCCGCTCCAAAGTATTTCGGAAAGCGGTCCCTATGCCGTACGATTCTCTTAAGCGATATACAGCACGGCATAGGGTCCTTTGGTTGCAAAGTTCTTTGGCGTATTTGGGCTAGTCAATTTCACTAGTCAATAGTCAAAAAGTCCCCCGCGCCTTGTACGCGTGAAATTAGGGTAGATTGTCTTGCTTGAAAAAGATTTAAGGAAGAGATTAGAAGTTCTCCGATTAGGGATTCGAATGAATGAATTGCAATTCTATAATTTTATAGTTTTTTTTGATTCTGTGATTTGGTTCTATTAAATTGTTACAGAATAAATAGAATATTCAATATTTCAGAACTCATACCTTCTTCTGTAACGGGATGGAAGCTTTCGAGAAGTCACGCGAAAGCTGTTTTTAGAGCTAGATGTCAGTATACTATTCGGAGCAAGAAGCACATCCTGTTCGAGGTAAGCTGACCATATTTGAACAATTAAGACTATTTTTCCATTTCCCTAAGGCACGCGCCATACTTGATCCACTTGATCCGCTTGATGCATTTCATTCGCTTCGCTATTGGTCAGACCAGTGAACTGGCCAGTAGCAAAGTGGATGAAACGGATTAAGCGGATCAAGTGGATCAAGTACAGAGAGGTGCATAAAACTAGAAAAATCAAGCTTGAGAAACCATCTACACATTTGATTTTTGTTCTCCCTTGTTTCAAATCATATCATGCTTTTCCCTCATGAAGACATATCGATGTAAAATTTGAGTGATTGATCAGCAGTAAATTTTTTTCTGTGTATTTTCGATTTTCCAAGAATCCGTGGAAAGTCAAGAATCTCATATTTTCTTGCGGAAAACCAGCTTGCATAGAGCTGGCATATATGCCTTCAGGGGCTCTCAAAAGTACATCCCAGTTATGATAAGCTATAATTTCTATTTAGACTGTTTAGAAAATCATTTTTGCGTTAGACTTTTATAAAGCGTGCCTATGTCATTTTTGAACGCACATGTAGTTCAAGGAAGATTTCCTTTTTACTAATTTCTATTCCTGATTTTCTACACTTTTTTGCATCAAAATCAACAGTTTGTAGGCTCCTCTTTAGAGCATAATTATATAAACATATCTTCTAAGGTAATCCTGCCTATCTGCCTCCTCTTTCTTTGCGAACTCTATGCAAAGATACAATTCTCCAACACTCTGCCTGCTACTGTGACTTCTCAGCCCCAGCTGCCATTGATAGCTGAAATGTATGGAAATGGATCTCGCAGCTATCTCAGGTAGGAATGAAATATTCAAGACATTATTTTTATCATTTGTAGTCAAATTCAGTCTATGGGATCGTGATCCATCATCGTTGTCCTATCAGATAGTGAAATCGTTCGAGGAGCCACCAGATATGGGAGCACGATGCGTGAAAAATGCGCCTGCATTTGAGCGGTAAGTTCTTTCATTTATATCTCAAATTCCATTTTTTCGTCTTGGAAATTTCTTTGTTTTCTTCATTTTCATTTTATTCATCTTTAATTATGATCTTTCATCTCATTTTCATCACTTTCATCTTTCTTCTTCATGTGAAAATCCTGCACTCTTCAAATCTCAGAGTTTTTTGTTTCAAATCCTGTTCTGAAAATTTTTTTTGCTTTTCCATAGTCTTCATTGTGAACAACATTCTCTCTTTCTTATTTATCTGTGTACAATTCAGCGAAGTTTTGAACTGGTCTCCATGGTTTGGATTTATCGAGGAGAAGTAGGTTATTCAAGAAGACGACACGTAACTTTTTACTCAAAGACCTTAACAACCTCTTGTTAACATTATTGCAATAATTCCTCAAATATTTTGCATGAATGTCTAAGTAAGAACACTATCGCGCAAACCTCGAACAGGAGCGTAATTTTTCACTGAAAAAATATAAATATTAGAGAAGGACAGAAATATCTGAGTGAAAATTCTTATTACCCCTGAACTACATGAAAACCGAATCTTCCACATCATCTATAATAGAACAAATTATACCTTTGTCCAATAAGAGTCACTTTTAATTCCGTTTATTTGCTTCTATATACTTAAGTGTTGCTGTTAATGTTAAGGCAGATATCCTCTAATCCAGCTCTAATGTGCCTTCGGCTGAAAATGTGGGCAAATGCACTCTTCTGATATCCATAGAGGCCCACCTTTGTTTTAGGCTTTACCTTAAAGCTTCTTTGAGACCTAAGAGAACTGGTTGAAGGGCTACATTTGGCACTGGCCGGGCATCTACCCAAATCTTCGTCTTCAGTGTTTTAGTCATTCTGGGGCTCCGTGGTCCTGATTACAAATGTGAAGTGCAAAATGTGCAAAAGCTCCAAAAAACCAGATTTCGGGAGCATCTATCCGAAGGCACGGACGACTTTCAGCACTTGACAGGCGGAGCTTGATAGGGCGGGCGTGGCTTCATATACTTTCGCGGGTTCCGGGTTGGTTTTCTCCATTCAAAGGCCACATTAGAGAACCCGACCAACGCGAATGTCTTACTCTTAGAGCCCTACTTTAGACACACGCACGTCATCAGCCTAATCTACATTATTATATCAGTGCATTGCTGCTCATGTTCCCATAACTTTTTTGAGACATAACCCAGTTTATGATTGCCACCTCATCAACCATAGAAAACCCTTTAGCCCTAACTTTTCGCAATGTGTTAATTTTTAGCATTGAAAAATTCGACCATAAGAAGCACTTTTACCCCTGCTCTGCACTACATCTTCACTACTTATAAAATCTCCTTAATAACAATTCCGCAATTATTCATTCACATGCTAATGGCCGTCTATATAAACACTATCCTACTCTTCTAATTTATGGAAACCGCATTTAGTGAGCCTGTTAGTGGTTGTGAATCGAACGCAACAAGCGGAACTTTCGACTTCTACGCAAACGAAACGGAAGTACCATACAATGAAGATCTGAACTGCGAATGTTTGAGTCACATGTGGAACTGCACCGCTGTAAGTTCGACTGTTTGGTATCTATTAAATTACAAGCAAAAGCTGAGATTCAGGAAGACTACCCACTGGACGCAATTCCGTTAATGACCTTGAACACAACTATGCAAGTGTGGGATTTGTCGTATCGTAACATCTCTCAGATGAGGCTGACCACTCGATGGACCACGAACGATAGTAACATTGCTCCAATGTAAATTTCACTTTGAATTTACTTACAAAAGTTCACAGATCGTAGAAGACTGGAGATCTATAGATCAAAAGTAATGGGTTTATGTCAGTTTCCTTGTCAGCGCTCAGGAGCAAAGAACATTCACTCCCAAAAACTTGTTTTGCTCTATTTTTCAATGATTTGATTGATATTTGACGGAAAGGGCTTCTGATGTGTTGTTTTTACTTTTCACAACCAAAGAATCATTTTCTGAATTAAATGCGACCTTAACGTTCTGATTATATGGTACAGTTTTAACTTTTTGACAACGCCTTAGGACCTCACCCCTCAATATTTGCATGTGACTAAGCATGCTTTTTTAGACTAGGCGGCTTTTCCCTTGGTCACACCAGTCTTCGTGCTCGGACTCCCACCCAAGTTCAAGCAGAGATCCGAGGCTGGGACGTTCTTCTTACGGGTAAATCCCTCGTGTAGTTTTTTTGAAGGGTCACGGAAGTTTGCGATCTTTTCGATTGCATGACTTTTAGGGCTGAATGAATCCGCGGTTGCCCTCAACATCAGCATATCCCGGCCAGAAACACCAGAGATATATGATCCGTTCTTGAAAAACATGACCATGAGTGATTTTATCACGGCAGTGCTAGGATCCATGGAAACTCAGCATAATGTCAAGGTAATGCCAGCTTCACTTTTCATCGGATTTACAAATGGATTAATTAATTAATTAATTAATTAATTTATAAGTACACTCAAGGCATCAAAGAGAAAGAACACCACAGAGGAAAATCAAAAAGAGACACGGGGCCAGCCAGTCCTCATCCTCAAGGCAAAAGTAGAATAAAATAAGAGATAGATGAAAGACACGAAGCTCTAGACCCCTAACAGAAAGGAAAAAAAGAAACATGTACAATGTCAGAAAACATCATCAATGTTAACCTTAGTAACATATCTGTATCCCGACATACAAGGTGTCCCAAAAAATGTGCATACTATTTGATCTTTAAGAACTTTCTTGTCATCAAGACTTCTGAAAAACTTTAAGTACTATTTCGTAATGCTGACTTTAACTTAGATTAACGGTGTGATACGAATCAAGAATCACTCTTCATTACTGTAGGATTACGGTAGAAACTTTAAGGAGGGTTTTGAGACATTGGAGGTTATATTTTACTTCTAAAAAACCAAAGAAGCTGAAAAGTGTTACACTAATAAAAGAGATAATCATATGTATCACCTTTTGACTCCGTTTCGTCCCTTCCTTCATATGGAGAAGACTTGATTTCTAAGTCTTCCCCGGACTTCCTCAGTAAGGAAGAAAGATTTAGTATCAAGTAGAAAATTGAAATTCAGTAATTTTTTATAATAGCTAACTACAATAAATTCAAATTAAAATTAATCTTAAATTTATGTAAGATTGTAGCTTGCTTACTTTCAACAAGCGCGTCGATGAATAACTAAGTTAATTAGAGTCGCTGATTCCAAATATGGAACTCGCACTTCACCGTAACGCTTTTTCCACAAGTTGTGATAGAAGTAACACAACAACCGATTTTTCGCTATTCGTCAAAGAATTTGATTAGGCCACTTAGAAAGTTCTGCGAGCGCGCAAAATTGTGTGTACTGAAAATAGCATGCTTGAGAACCTTGTTGCACAATTTCCCAGATTTTTTGGAGATTTTTTCCAAGCCTTCCTCTCAATGACGCCATATGCCTACAAGTTAACGTACTCCTACAGTAATGAAGAGCGATCTTAGTTTGCTTTATACTGGAAATCTAAGTTGAAGCTCTGCAGAACAATACCTAAAGCTTCTCCAAAAACTTCATGACGATAGAGTTATTAACAATGAAACAGTAGGCATATTTTTTGGACCCTGTATTTCAGAAGAGTTTATGGAAATTTACATGAATTTTGCACTGAGCATAGATTATACCCTTACCTTAAAGCACCACATTGTGCCATGTCAGTGCTCAGAGCTCGGCGCAGGTGGCTTGCAAGCAAGCTGGATATCGTTTCTGGGACGAGACGTAAAAATTTGACGTTTTTCTAGTCGACGTTTCGTTTTTTGAGTTTTTTTCCTCGTCTAGGGTTTAGGGTCAAAGCGGACTTCGTAAAAATCGCGAACGTCAAGGGAGACTTCGTTTTTTTTTTGCATCTTCCAAAAGCCACCTCGTACCGAGCCCTTATAGTGCTCACTGGTCGAGATTGGGTCCAAATGGGCTAATTTTCATTTCGAATGGAGCGTTGCGCTAATTTTGATGCGAATTCGAGAATTTATAAAGAAATAGCATCAGCATTCCTCAACGATAGCACATGACAATCGTTTTGCTAAGGCAAGAAGTAGTGGAGAAACTACCGTTTTTACTTTTTTTGCCTCCGTATTGTCATTCCGATCGCTTGAACTATTTCTGGAGTTTTGAGATCGAAGTTCTACACAGCTTTTAGGCATGGTTCAACAATAAACTCTACACATCATTACCGATCTTCACGAGCTACCTAAGCAATGCTTTGTTGAGAATCGAATCGAAAGATACAGGTTAGTATCATTTACACTTTGATTCAACTGGCTTGGTGGCTGGAAGGCTTCGTGACCTAATCAAGGCTAGATAATGGTCAGAGAGCAGGTACGCGAGAGAGACGCAGACTGCGTCGCGGCAGCGAGCGGATTTTATTAGGTCACAAAGCTCCGCCTTCCAGCCGCGAAGTCAGTTGGATTAAAGGTTAGGTACTTGTCCGTGCCGTAGAGTTTTTCTATTTCGTAATCATCTAATGTAAAATTTCTCATATCTTCAACATCAGAAAATTCGCAGTCCTTGCTACTATAATAAGTGCCAAAAAGGTTTCAGTTTTATTCAGATTTTGTTTTATTTCATCAGTTTTAAGTTCCCTATAAAGATATTAAACCTTGGGAAATCTATCTACTTTCTCAAAATGGAACTACAGCAACCCGCCCTCCTTAAACTTAAATTCTTTCAAAAATCTATTATTCCCGTCTGATCGTCACTAATTTTTCTCTTCAGATCCAACCGAGCTAGGCATCATTGCAGTCAATCATCCGATGAATCAAACAGTAAAGAGTAGCTTCGACTCAGAGGGAAAGTCAGTTGCACTTGTTACCTCAAAATTAAATGTGAAAAGATTATTTTTTTCCAGCAAGAAGTTGATTGTCTTTCGAATTGTGCTGATCGTTCTGGTTTTATGCGTCATACCAGCTGGTTTCACCGTATTTTTGGTAGAAGGTTAGTCGCAACTTTTATTGCACACAAAGCGGCCTATATAGGCAAATTGCAAAATAAGGAAGTGTACAGATGAAGTTTTCCATCATGAAGACCCAAGGGCCGTGTGGGACATGAAAACATGAAAAATATAGGTCGTTTCAAAAGTTTCGCTTTTTTCAAACAGGCACCACATTTGATGGAACAAAGGTTTTCTGAGAGATCAGAGATTTCTGAGAGATCCTACAATGCTTACTAGGTGATTTGCCTAAGCCTGCACACTTTTGTGTAGAAATTATCATGATTTTGCGACGCAAAATGCACGAAAATTTGGCTTCAGAAAAGCTTATAACTTTTTTCAGAACAATGCATCGCAGATATAGAAGGTATTTCTAAGATCAGCTTTTTAAGCTCTATCTATTGGTATAGATCTCTTTCCAAATCGCCACTTCGACTAAGTGAACTTCCCTTGTAAGGGATCTTGGAGGCATTCGATGCAGAATTTCATTCTCTTTCTAATGGTTATGAAAGTGTTGCAAAACAGTCAATGAGCTTTCAGAAAATAACCAAAGTTTGCGACTCATGCTTTTTGAGATAGTCTAGTTTCACAATTTTTTAAAACTTTCACATCAATCCTCAGAAGAAGTTCAAGTAACTGATCGACAGAGCAAACCATATAGAATGCAAAACTACCTTTTTATCCTTTCCATAGCTTGTCATACATTTTTGACAGAATTTTAACTGATGCTACCGATTTTCATACTTGGGCAGCTAAATCCTCGTAGAACATCAAAGGAAGAGCAGCTCGGCCACTATTCGACGCAGCATCTTCTCCTATTTCTAACAGGTGGTTTTTGTTTCCGATTCGTTTAGTTTTCGGGAATAAAATCATCATTCATTTTTCCAAGGAGCCTCATGCTGTACCTGAAAATCACGAAATTTGATATTTCGAACCCGTAAACCCTCGCTTGCTTTGCAAAGTTAGTGCTAACTCATAGTACAGTCTTGGTAGTCTCAAATTCCGAAAAATTATGATGTTCGCTGCGATTGTGGCTGAGGTGGGCCTGCCAAAATCCGATGGCTCTGTTAAAAAATCTTTTGAAAAATTACGGCGAGCTATGAGAAAGAGAAAAAAGCAGCACTGTATTCTATGAGGTTTACTCTATCGAATCGCTACTTGAACTTCTTCTGAGGATTGATATGAAAGTTTTGAAAAATTATGAAACTTGACCATCTTAAAAAGCATGTGTCGCAAGTTTTGGTTATTTTCTGAAACTTATTGATAGTTTTGCAACATCTTCACAACCATTAGAAAGAGAATGAAATTCTGCATCGAATGCCTCCAAGATCTCTTACAAGGGAAGTTCACTTAGTCGAAGTGGCGATTTGGAAAGAGATCTATACCAATAGATAGAGCTTAAAAAGCTGATTTCAGAAATACCTTCTATATCTGCGATGCATTGTTCTGAAAAAAGTTATAAGCTTTTCTGAAGCCAAATTTTCGTGCATTTTGCGTCGCAAAATCATGATAATTTCTACACAAAAGTGTGCAGGCTTAGGCAAATCACCTAGTAAGCATTGTAGGTCTAATTCAAGTTCATCCGAACGTTTTCGAGTATTTTCCGACCATGTTGTATCCACAGGTCTCCATTTCCTTCCAAGATCACACTTCCATTATATGTACAAAGAAAGCCCATAACCTCTATCTGGAAAAACGCGTCGCAGGTATTGAAGATATATTTGAGAACATCGTTGTACGTTTCATCTATTGGTAACTTCTAAAAAGTTTCCGACGCGACGCGTTTTTCTAGGTAGAGTTTATGGAGCTTTTTTGTATACATAATGGAAGTATGATCTAGGAATGAAATGGCGACCTGTGGATGAACTATATGGTCGGAAAACACTCGAAAGCGTTCGGATGGACTTGAATTAGACCTACAATGCTTACTAGGCGGTTTGCTTAAGCTTGCACACTTTTGTGTAGAAATTATTTTGATTTTGCGACTCAAGATGCAAAAAAATTTGACTTTAGAAAAGCTCGTAACTTTTTTTAGAACAACGCATCGCAGATATAGAAGGCATATCTGAAATCAGCTTTTTAAGCTCTATCCACTGGTATAGATCTCCTTCCAAATTGCCACTTCGACTAAGTGAACTTCCCTTGTTAGAAGCCTTTGTTCCATCAAATGTGCCGCTCGTTTGGTGAAATTACTTTTGAAACGACCTAATTTAAGTAATACAAATAACATATGCGTTTTTAGATCGAGTCTGTGATGCGTATCATCTTCAGCTTGTTAGCGGTTTATCAAGAACAACCTATTGGATGACTGGCTACGCATTTGACATGGTGGGTTTATTCATTGGCGATCTATTTTCGTCTGGAGTTAGGGCGACAAAAATTTTTTTTGAATGACTGTGCGTGGCGTTCCTACGCACTTCAAATAATTTTTTTGTGACGCTTTCCATTTTTGTGGGCCAACCCAAAAAATTCCAAAGAAAGGGGGCGTGAATGCCGTTACGTTTTCGAGAATTTGTTTACAAGGCTTATTTGAATGCAAAAATTCTAAAAATCATGTCAATTACTTACAAGTATAAACAAGACCTTGGCACATTTTTTTTTGATAGAGGAACAAATACCTCAATCAGGCACCGCCTCCGCGGACTACTGGTCCTAACGCGATGTAGAACAGTGGAGCGAAATGACAAGCGGTCCGCGGAGGCGGTACCTAATTGAAATATAGTTGACTGCACAGAATCGCCCCGACTGAGCACCCGCGCGCGTGTGTCTTGCGCGCTAATATTGGCATTCGCGCGCATGAGTCATCACGGCGCCCGTACTCGATAGCCGCGTGCGTTCAGTCTACAGCGACCCGGGCGATTTCGTGCAGGCGACTTTATTCTCCCATCCCATCATCCTTGATGGGGGGGGGGGGGGAGTTGTGTAGTGCCGTATGTTTGAGAAGAAGTGAGCTGGCGGGGAATTTGAAACTGTGAAAGTAACATAAAATGGCGTAGAGGGACGAATATCTCAATACCTCCTCCGCAAACTGCTGGTCTCTTCGCCTCTCTGTTGTAATTGTGTTAGGACCAGCAGTCCGCGAAGGCGGTGCCTAAATGAGGTATGTTCCTTTGCCCAGGGCGATGTTTCAACGATGGAAGGCGGCGGGCGCGGACATCTGCAACAAATAAGCACTGCCTGCACGATTAATAAGTGTATTTTGCAAATGGACCTCTCTGTTCGGCAACTCGACTGTTTTTGCCCCCTCTCCCCTTCTTCGTTTCTCACCAATTCTCCAACCGAAACACAATTCAATTTCAGGCAATCTTCACAGCTTCCGTGGTCGTCATTCTTTTGATCTACATCATCTTTGGGGTCAAAGATTTTGCCTACAGCTTTGAAGCTCTGGCATCGTTCTTTCTGGTCTTTCTTCTCTATGGGTATGCCTTCGATTTTGACAGCCTAATCGTTTAGGAAAAGGACTTATTTCAGGTTATGCTCCGTTCTCTGGGCTTACGTCCTGCAGCGTCGCTTTGAAGTACCAGCGCTTTCTTTTGTGTTGATCTCAATAGGTACATTTTTCGTAGGTATTGTAGCATCGCTTACGGTTATGGTAATCGAGCAGCTCATGCAAAAGGTTGGTATTTCAAGAAACTTGTTCATCTCCTTTTCCGAGAATTTTTTTCTGAATTTCTCAATTTTCAAATGGATAAGATGTTTGTTCCAGGATCCAACGTTAATAACACCGCACACGGTTTGCTCCCTAGTTTTTCTCATCATTCCGCAATACAATCTGGGAATGGCCATATTCCGAGGAAGTTTCGTATTCCAGCTTGTTCAGTTGGGAGAAAATTACCTTAGTGAGTTGAATTGGTGCCGATCATTTATATGACACCTAGCGGTCAATCAGTGGTTCAAATCTCATACACTCTAATGAAAAAAAGAGAAAAAAGGTAAGGTAAAGGGGCGGAATGCTGTGCGTAACAGCGAAACATAAATTATTGAATGAATATAAAATTTTATCATTTTGTCGATTTATGCAGACTTCACGAACCTATGAAATAATCCAATATTACACTTGCTTTGGAATAATTCTAAAAGGGAAAAAGAAAAACAGAAAGTAAACAAACACAAATCTCAAAAATTTTCAGGATTTGCCAACCACTGATTCTGGTACAGTCGAGTAGATTTTCCGCTAAATATAGTGAGCTTGCTCTGAAGGTGAAATGCGGTAAAATTTGCGCGTGACAAGTAGCCACGACAGTAATGCCAGCCTTTTGCGCGCGCAATTGGCCGGCGTCATGGGCGCAACTATTTGTTCACGCGCAAACTTTACCGCATTTCAATTTCAGTGCAAGCACACTATATTAAGCGGAAAATCTACTCGACTGTAGTTAATTTAATTTTGTCAGAAAAATGCAACTTGACCATAGTCGGATCTAATCAGCTTAGGAAAGCCGTCTTTTTTCCGATATATTTCTAATTTTCCAAAAACAATGTAGCGTAGGCTCAAAAATGATTATACTACCTTGAGAGCTGGATAACGTTTTGCACCAAAACAACCTTCTTCCAAATCATTATCATCTGAAGGTCTAAGGCAGCAACCACCCAAAACTTTCGTGCATTCCGAGTTTTTGTCATTCTGAGGCCCATACGTGGCCGTGATTTACGAAAGTTAAGTGTACAAAACCTTCAAAAACCCGATTTTTGGGAGCCCTTCCTGAAGGCACAGACGACTTTCAGGATGTGGATGGGCGGAGTTCGACAGGGTGGGCGTAGCTTGATAGCACTTTCGCGGGTTCCAGGTCCATTTTTCGATTCAGAGCCCACTAGAGGACCGGGCCAACGCAGATCCTACTCCTAGAGCCTTCTTGTAGATTAGATACCTGGACGATGCCTTTGAGAGTGAAAATCTTTACATGGTCATGGTAGTGATTTTGCCATTGCCATTGCCATCCCTAGTGGAGCTATCTATTATCTTTTTGACGGCCTTGCTGAGAGACCTAAGTCGTCTGCCATTCAATAATTTTCAAAATTCAGAAGAACTTCACCGACCCGACCTCATACATTCCCTTCCCATTCCTTCACTTCTGCAGTGGAATCTCATGGGAAAATACTGCCTCTGTCTTTTCATTCACATCATCGTAGCTGCTCTCATACTTTTTATTCTGGAGAAGGAACCATTTGGATTTCTCAGGTAGAAGATATCGTTTTTGCCAAGCAATGGATCACAAAAAAATGATTTTTTATTCAGAGCTTTCGAAAAACTCGCTACGCAACGGCTTTTGAGCTCAAGTAAAGGTGTTTCGGATGAAGATGTTTTGGCTGAGAAGAGGAGAGTGGATGAGTTGGAGGAATCTGCGGACAGCCCCTTGATTGTGAAAGATCTGGCCAAGGTAAGTCAGCGAAATAAATTTTATTTTTGAATTTTTATTGCCAGGGCTATACTGGATGTTTACAAAAGCATGATCTTTTTTCACACTAAATATTTTTTGCAGACCTACACAAGGCAGAGTTTAGCGGTGCAAAATGTGTCATTTGCCGTAGACCGAGGTGAATGCTTTGGCCTCTTAGGGCTAAATGGCGCTGGAAAAACTACGACATTCTCCATGTTGACGCAGAAAATACGTCCAGGAAGCGGTACGGTGCACATACATGGTCGAAGGTATGTAACTGATTCCTACCTTGGAGTAGAGAAACGAATATTACCATCAGGCGCTGTGGCGGACTACTGGTTCCCACATGATATGCTATAATTTGTTTTAAAGGAACAGTTGTCCACTGGCGTCTGTTGGCGGTATTCGTTCCTCAAGCCTTTTACTTCGAGCTCATTAACATATGGAAAAGTTTAGCATGGTAGTAGGCGACCGCTCCTCTTTCAAACAAGTTGGTTACTGCCCTCAGTTCGATGCCCTGAACATGAAGCTGACTACAAACGAGAATATGGAGCTGTTCGCTAGAATACGTGGAATCCCCGAATCTCACATCAAGCCGGTCAGTGACAAGAAACTTCCACACGGACAACAGAAATCAATATTTTCTACTTTGCAGCTCATTTCTAAGCTTCTGATGTCACTACATCTGAGTCCGTATGCGTCGACGGTGACGTCGGCTCTCTCTGGTGGAAATAGGAGAAAACTGTCAGTAGCTATAGCGCTGATCAGTCATCCATCACTTGTCTTGCTGGTGAGTTTTTTCATTACTGGAACAGAGCCAGAACTGATGTTTTATGCAAAATCAAAATATCCGCAATATTTTTAAGTGTGTGTAAGTAGAACCTTTAATGTAGCAAACAGTGACAGTTCAGTCCTACTTCTGTTATCGCAAACTTGTTTCTCTAATTTACTCTCGCAGTTAGAATTATTATTCTCTGCTGTCTCAATCAAAAAAGCTTCGCTCACTCAGACCACCTTATTTGATATTGCCAAACAAACCTAGGAAAAGGGGGACAAATGGAAAGCGAAGAAATTCTATTTCAGACATACAGGAGGTTCATATGGAGTGTAACGGGCTTTTAAAAATTTCATTTTTCTACCTTTTCCTCTTTTTTGCTTCGCAACTCCATTTTTTCTTCATATTCCCTTCCTATTGTGGTTTTACTTTCGAAGAAGGAGGGTATTGTTGAAGAGCTTTTTGGAAAACTGCAAAATTTGAGTGTTTTTCTTTATCGGCCAGGATCTAAGAAATGCAAATTTTTCGATTCAGGCCTGCTAAGTGCAAGATTTGTCCTTTCCAAAACTTAACAGATAAAGCAAACGTTAGAGGAAACATACCGACGAACATTAGTAAATGAATGTATCTAATTCTAAGTCAGAAGCGGACATTTTCGAACATGATTGATAGGACCTACGCAAAATTTCCATAGCCATCGAATAGAAGCAATTCCTTTCAAATTTGAATTGGTTTGTGCAGAATGAGCATTTATTTACGTTACATTTCATGTGGATCACCTTGTATAACTTGCTCTTCACTTTAGGATGAACCATCTGCTGGAATGGATCCAGGTTCGCAGCAATTCTTATGGAGAGTAATCGATCACTTGAGGAAATCAGGAAAGGCTGTGGTAAGAAAAATGAAAACCACAAGTGGATTTTAAACTTTTGAGACCGCGAGTCATTTTTCTTTTTGAGAGAAAAAAACAAGAGGTATTACTGGATAGTATTCAAGACATCAATGTTTTTCAGATGTTGCGGAATAGCTGTGAAAATTTGAGCCTAGAGAGCAGTCTGAAGATTTTTGAAGTAAAAAATCATGGCCATTTAGGTAATTACATCACATTCTATGGAGGAGTGTGAAGCGCTGTGCACAAGAATAGCAATTATGGACAAGGGACAAATTCGCTGTATCGGCAGCAAGCAACATCTCAAGAACAAGTAATCCATTTGCTATAGACTCATCCTGATTTATTCATAATTTATTTCAATTCAGATTTGGTGAAGGACATTCGCTGACGGTAAAAATGAAGAGTCAAAGTGATGCGCGACTTGCGGGCGAGTTTGTGCTGGCTCGTCTGAAGGGTGCAAAAATCGAATCTATACATTGTTCTACATTGTTTCTACATGTTGATAGGGAAATTTCCAGCATTTCCGGCATCTATCGGGTTCTTAATCAGGTGATAAGGGAGTTTTTGCTCATTATCATTCAAATTTGTGGAATTTCAGTTAAAAAATCAACTTTCTGTGGAAGATTTTTCTTTGTCGCAGTCGACACTTGCTGAAGTTTTCCATTCATTGGCATCAAACTCCACGTCCTCGGTCTCCTCAGGGCCTACTGCCTCAACTGCTGAAACGGACCTCACCGATTGAACCTCTCTTAAACTTAAGCCTTTGAATGCTTCTAGTCAGTAATAAGTGAATTTAATGTGTTTTATGCACCGCTGTCCATAGAAACCCTCTAAGGTTCTCAAAATAACATTCTTAAGAAAACTATTCTACTTTTGTATGTGACTCATAAAAATCTTGCAAAATAGAAGCTTATGTAAAAAAATACGGGTATTGTTCATTGTGATAGTCAAGTGATTCGTGTCTGTCAAATGTTGTGATAACTAATCTTAATAAATAATCAGCACATAGAGTTTCTTATTGATCTGTTGTAATTCAAGCTTTACACTTCAAGATGCCATATGCGCTTTTTTGAAAGTTCTATTACTCTAACTGGTAAACCTAAGCTTTAGCTGAAAGGTGAGTAATTATTAAACCGATTCTTTGCGCCAACTCTATGCACACGCTTTTGGGCAAAAAAGATCATTCTAAACTTTGAATGATTGAGGATGAGATTACGAGAAGAGTAGTAGCGAGAAAAAAATCGTGTTTACATGGCAAGAGGATGAATGAATGAAATTAGCGTTTATTTTCAAGAAAAGTACCGCTTTATCTCTTTGGTAATCAAAGAATCATAAGTAGGGTCAAGATCGAGGAGAGGATAGAGGGGTTGTAATCAAGAACTGAATTCGCTAAAAACGAGAAACTGCAACAAGGCAACTCTGATAATCGCCGGGGGCAGGAGGTCTGCAAACTCGCGCTTTTCTGCAAGCGGTCAGCAAAATTTTGGGGCGTGGCCAAACTTTCAGCGAGCGGTACTTCCGTGTTCTGCTAGCGGGCAGCAATATAATATTTTCTGCAAGCGCTCGTCAATCAAGCTCCTTTAGCGAGCGCGGGCGAAACTTTCAGCGGGTGCTTGGACTCTTTTTACGTTAATTTCTTTTTTCTTCTTTTTGTAAAGAAGAAGAAAGTCAGTCTGTTCTTACTAATCACAAATACAACCTTTCTGTAACGTTCCCAAGTATAGATTACCAGTGCGTCACCTCTGCTTCGCAGAGGTTCGCACTGGCTCTACTATCTATGTGCCTTACTCATTCTCGTAAAATCATGGCACTGGAACTCACCGCGCTATGCCGACTACCACGAATAAAATGTAAACAACCACTCATTTGGAAAGTCTTTTCACGTGAGATCGGTGATTTCGCGTTGATGAAACTTTTCGCAGGAAAACAAACGCAAATTTGAATAGGTTTTTGGATTTGTCATTACTTGTTAGTCGCCATGAAGGTAATGATAGCCGTGAGCTACATCTCTGTGCGAAAATCTTCTCAAACGCTTAGCTAGAACCTTGGCAAATTGACCATTTACACAACCAATTCGTTTTGGCGCCGTTTTCGTTATGTAGTAAACATTCAAAAGAAAATTCTGGCTAAACTCCATCGCTTGCACATTTGCTTACCATACTCATCCACGACTCTGCAAAAAGTGGTGATACGGACCGAATTTGGCGGTACAGAAGCCAGGTGGACCCGTTTGGCGCGCAATTTCTGAGGGATCCACTCAACGAATCTACTCGTGCTTTTGCATATTGGGCTTCCATGAAGGTAGCATGCGCTATGCAAAATTTGGGCTTGAAACGTTTGCTGGAACACGCTCTACGAATTTCGTAACGGACAGACAGACACACACACACACGTACAAAAAGACGTGAACAAACCTTAGCCCGTTATTATAAGTCACTAGTTGGCTTTCCCGGTCCAGCCCGGGCCATTGTTCACTTACACTGCGAGCCCCCCCCCTCTTATTTGTTACTACTTGGCTTTCCCGGTCCAGCCCGGTTCATTGGTCACCTGCACTGCAAGTCCCCCCCCCCCCCCCCCCCACCTTCTTATATGTTGTGGATGACTTACCCCGGAACCCGCTTCGAAAACCGCATCCTCGTGATCCTGAGGTGAAAATGAGCTTCACCGCCCTCCTTTACAGACTATGGTAAAATGCTTGATTAAACATGATAAGCCCTCAATTCCTTTGAAAAACGTAAACAAATCAATAAATCGATAGAAGGACCCAACGAATCGCTGCGAAAAGTAGCCTATCATCTGCGCAGGGGTCGAAAACATATGTGTGCAAAGTTTCAGCTGAATCGGTTGAGCGGTGCGTGTTTCTATAACGCACATACCCTCCAAACTGACAATTTTTGAGTTTTATATATATATAGATGATAGGAGTGCTCCCAAAATCCAATTATGGCTTTTTTACATTGAGCCTTTCACTACATGGGCCACCACATAGCCAGATCAAGTCGAAGTGAGAAAATACACCTAATTTGAAATCCAAGAGGTTTGTGCTAACGAATGACAAAAATTTGAATGATAAAGGTTCTTTGGTGATAAAATTAATGGGTCACGCACTATTCCTCAAAAGGCCGAGCTGCTTGAGGTTTTCTAGCTTTGTGCCTGGCCTTAACTTAGTCTCAAACCTGTTTAATGCGTATGCCTATCGTACTCCCACTTTTAAAACATCGGAAGATGCTACGCGTCAAGCTGAATCGAATGGTGGCTTGGATTCAGAATTCGTCCACTCTGAAGCGAGATATGGCCACGCGACGGTGATGTCCATACATTAGGCGACCGTCGCATCACTCATGCGACAGTCGCGTGACTTATGCGACCTTCGCGTAAGTCCTCCTACATTCGCGTCTATTTTTCAAAAAAATGTGAGCGGTATTGTAACTTAAAGGCGAGTTATAGTAAAGTACAAAATAGCACTTAAGATGCTGCATAAAGTATAATAACATCCAACATCGGCAGAAAATTCCATTATTTATTAAAAATTCAATAAATAATGTGTATAATCAGAAAACAAAAACTTTGCCTTTACAACTTTTTCTGTTCTTCTATCTGTGCAGAAGTCAGCGTTGCTTCCTTAGAAATGCACATCAAAGAGACGCTTGTAATACCTTCCATAGCAACATGCGGATGGAAGAGCAATTTCAGGATTTTCACATTTGCTTAAAGATCGACTTTTCATCTGTTCTTTTTACTTACTCATTCTTATTACACATGCATCTTAAAAGGGATGTCACGTAACTTGAAATCGCGTTTCGAGATGAGACACATCCTCGAAGCTTCGCACACTGGTTCCAAGGACGCTGTTTCTAGCTGCAGCACACCATTCCGAAGAGAGTTATTGATTTTTTATGCGGAAATTTGGCGTATTCTCAACGTGGAAATACCTATGAATCAAAATCTGCCCGAAAAAAAGTGCTGCACCATCGAAATAAGAACAGATCAAATCCTTTATCGTTAACAAAGAACTTTACACAGTGTATTAACACTCAAATGTTACTACAGTAATCCAAGGAGATCAAATGAGCATCCGAGTTCCGCGCTTAAAAAAACTAACTCTCTTCAAAATGATTCGCCGCAGCTAGGAATAGCAAAATTTGGAATCATCGTTCGAAGCTGATTCCAGACATATGTGTCTCATCTCGAATCGCGATTCTAAGTTAAGTGACATCCCTTGTTTGTAACCCTAATCAAAAATATTACCTATATCACCTGTGTCCCCGTTGATCATCGTGTTGCACGAGCGGGTACCAGTGATGCCTCCATTCGTCCCTGTCTCGAGCGATTGTTGACCAGTGTTTACGTATCGCACCAGGAACAAGTGGAACGCTGTGAAGGACTTAATTGAAGGACTTCGTGAACATATCTGACCATCGCGTCGGCGGTCTTCCTCGTTCGCGTTTGACGTCCAGTGGTATCCAATCTGTTACAGCTCTCGTCCACCGATTGTCGTCGAAACGCATTACGTGCCCGGCCCATCTTATCTTGTTCTGCTTGGCGTACGCGGCAGCGTCCCTGATCTTCGATCGTTGACGTAGGGTAGAACTTCGTAATCCTTGCCTCACTTGCGTGTCGATTCACTCCTAGCATCACTCTCTCAACAGCTCGTTTGATGACGCTAACCGCGTGTTCATCCTGCTTTCTCATTGTCCATGTTTCTGAAGCGTACGTCAAAGCAGGAAGAACCATCGAGTTGAAAAGGTGGGCGAGGAGCCGGATGTTCTTGGTCTTCTTCACTATGTCCTCAATTGTCTTATATGCTCCCCATGCTGCACGTTTCCTCCTGCTCAGTTCCGGAGCTAGATCGTTCATCATATTGAGTTCACGACCTAGGTAGGTGTAGCTTGAGCATTCGGTGATGTTCGTCCCGTTAAGCATGGAAGGAGCATCAGGCACTCTTCCGTTCCTCATGAACATCGTCTTCGTTAGATTCAGCCGTAGACCGATCTTTCCACACACTTCGTCAAACTGGGCCAACATTTGTTCCGCCTGCGTGATGCTTGGTGTTATTAATACGATGTCATCAGCAAAGCGAAGGTGGTGTAGCTGCCGGCCGTCGACTTTCACTCCCATGTTGTCCCATTCCAACTCTCGCATGACGTTCTCCAGAGCGGCACTGAATAGTTTCGGCGATATAGTATCGCCTTATCGCACGCCTCTCTTCACGTCGATGATGATATCCTTGTAAATGGTGTTATGGTGGTTGTGAAGTCGTTAAACAGCTCACGAATTATCTTGATGTAATGAGACGGAATACCTTGATTGCTCAAGGCATCGATGACGGCTTCAGTCTCAACCGAGTCAAAGGCCTTCTTCAAATCGATGAAGGTGAGACAGAGCGGCATCTTATACTCTCGTGACACTTCAATGAGCCTTGACACCGTGTGTATGTGGTCTATCGTGCTGAATCCTCTTCGAAACCCAGCTTGCTCGCATGGTTGTCCTTCGTCTAACTCTCTTCCGATCCTGTTGAGAATAACTCGCGTAAAGAGTTTGTAGACTACAAACAACAAGCAGATAGGGCGATAATTGCCGATGTCGCAGGGATCTCCCTTCTTGTGCAGCAACACGGTTTTGCTGGTCTTCCATTGTCTTGGAACCTTGCCTTCCGTCAGGTACCGCGTGAAGAGCCTTGCCAAAGTCTTAATCAGAACTGGCGAAAGATTCTTCAGATGTTCTGGCTTAATCCTGTCGGGACCGGGTGCTGTACGGTTCTTCATCGACATGATAGCA